ATGTTCTGGAGTTTATACCTGGCCCTGCAGAGTGACCACAGGACGAACAGGGCTCTTTCTTGTTCTTATAAATTATATTCCAAGTCATTTGCTCCAGGCAGCTGGGATTTGAGAAATGAGGCCATAACGTGGGGAGATTTGAAGGAGTGGCAAAGGGGGGGGGCAGTGATTATTGTACCATGTGGACCCTAATGTCATGGTTAGGGCTGAGGGAACATGTTGAACCACTCATGCAAGGGACCATAATGTCTGCATCCCAACAGCCAGTTTTCTGAGCGGAGATCTTGATTTAAGACCAGGCACTCTTCATGCTGCCTCTTGTTGGTTTAATGAAACACACTTAAGAAATCAGACCATTTCCCACAGAGTCAAATTCATCGACTTCTGAGGAGAAATTAAGAATGTTCTAAATTAGCCCCTGTCAGTGTTTTAAAGATTTTTTTCCAAGGCCACATTGAGCTACCTTCTGCCTTTATTGGGTTACGAATGACAACAGGCTACCTTTTATCTCCGCTGGATTCTAGACAGGAAACTGGGGCCTTTCCTTTATTTCTCTCTTATTTAGCTAGAAACATTTGGATTTCTTAGAACCAGATTTGCTCTAATCATGTGAACCCCTATTTGTATCCCCCTCCCCGTTTCTAAAAAGAAACCTCAGAGATTTTGAAGGTAAATCTCCTCCCTCCAGCTGGGAAGAAATACCCATTTGTTTCTCAGAGTTATCACCTGGCTGCCCACTTTCTAGTCTTACTGACTTCTCTGAGCTCTGCCCTTCATTACCCAGCACATTCCATAGTTGAGCGCCTTCTCAGGGGTTACACAATCTCTGAAAGACCAAGACTACAAGCTTCCATCACACTTCAATAACATAAAGTTTCTCTAAATAGTGCTATTACTTTTTGCTATGATATTTTAAGGCTGTAATTTAGGGGTGTGTGGGTGTGGGTGTGTGTGTTTGGGTGTGTGGGGGTTTGTGTGTGTTTGTGTGTGTGCGCGCGCGCGCACTTCTGCTGTGTAGGCTTGGTGGAAATTAGCCTTGTAGTTTCTTTCTTTCTGAAAGTGAATTATAAAGATTATTAACCTACTCCTCCATTTTTACTGTTGATCGCCTGTTCATAACAGCTGTTGCTTCTGGCAATTTAAAAACAAGCTGTAGCTTGTTCTTTGACGCTTTTTGTTTCAGGACCCAGGCATTCACCTTCAGCCTTCAACCCCTCAGAATTATTTTCCAGAATAGGCTAAAGCTCCAACATAGTGCACTGACTTAGAAAGCTGCTGAGCACCCTGGGAAGGCAGCCTGTATCGAGCTCAATGCTACTCTTCAAATTACAGAAGCAGGATCTTATCCCCTGAGAGTTCACTGTTAAAAACAGACTGATCAGAGGCATCACACACAGAGATGTGTCAGAGCAAAGCAAAGGACTGGTTCCAAAAGATTGTGTACCAACAGGAAGGAACCCTCACTCATTTCATTCAGCAATTCTTTAAAGAGCAGAGTCCCTTTATTAAATGCCTTGTTAATTAACTTTTGTTGCTGGAGTTTTTCTTTCCAGCCTGGTCCTGCCACTTCAACCCCAAATGAACACACAGAGATGCTATATTAATTATAAAACTATTGGCTGATAGCTACGGCTTCTTATTGGCTATCTCTGTCTTAATTATTAACCCATGACTACTAATCTATGTATTTCTACATGTCCTTATCTTACTAGAGAAGGGTCCGGACCTGTGACTCCTTCCACCACCACAAGACATATCTCCTGGCAGCCTCTCTCTGCCTCCTCTCCCCAGAATTCTTCTCATCTCCTAGCCCTGCCTATCTTCCTGCCTCTACTGGCTATTGGCCAAACAGTGTTTAATTAATCAACCAATAACAGAAACATATATACAGAAGGACATTGCCCATCAAACTTTCTTCTAAACATATATATTATATATACATATATATAACATATAATATTTCTTGGGCTGGTGAGATGGCACAGTGGTTAAACGGGCTTTTTATGCAAACCTGACAACCTGTATTCAATCTCCAGATCCCATTTAGGAGAAAACTGGCCCCTAAAAGTTGTTCTCTAACCCCCTACATGCCTTTATTTGCACACTATCACACATATAATAAAAACAATTTTTTATTAAATAAAGAAAAAAAGAAACTATGAAATTTCTTTGTGTTAGCCACAACTGTAGTTTTTGCTATCTGAGCAGATACCAATGTGACAGGCCAGAGCAGTCTGGGAACTAGGTGGGAACTTCAATCTGTTACAGTTCATTTGCCTAAAGGGGAACTAGATGCCCCATTACCAGAGGTAGTTGGCTGTAGGGGTCAGGCAAAGGAAGAATTTTTTTTTTTTTTTCTGATACACGGGAACCTGCTTTACCCATTTCAAAGGAATGCTGACTCTAAGCTTTGGTTTATGTTAGCAGTCCTTCTGTCCCCGCAGTCGGAGCCCAGCCTGAGCTCAGCCCACATTGTCATCTAGGACATTGCCAGCAGCACTACCATGGGATGTGGGAGTGTTATGGACCTAACAGTACCAGCTCCCACATTTTATGAAGTTAAATCATGCCTCTGTCTCAGTTACACTATGAGCAGGTCCTTTCAGGTCATGTGCTCTTGGTAAATAACACTTCAAGTCTAGAATTTGGAGCTTCTTCATAGTCACATGTTTTCAAGGGGCAAGTAGATTTCACACATGAAAAGCAACCTGTGTTTGGCAAATTCCTACAGGCATTGATCTTGTGTTTCAATGATCGATTTTCTGTGTAGGGTACCTTTAGTGAAGAATGGCCCCTTCTAGCTATTCTTTTTGTTAATGCCATTTATTCAAGCTACAGTCATGAGATACGTTCTTGGTAAAAGGTCATTCAGCTGATCTCCATGGTATGTAACGTTTACTGCTAACTTCAGAATATCAAGTGGATGTTAGGCATGTTGCACCATTTAGAGTAATTTTCCATAAAATGGTGTAAGTGATTGGAAAGCAAAGAAATCCAGTCAATGATGACAGAGTGCTGAGGAACTCTGTCACCTCTAGAGGCCCGAAAACTCCATGTCAGGTAGGGACTGGCAATATCCATTTTCAATGTTTGCCTTCCTTTCTTTGCGAGAACCCTGGGGCAGCCACATGGAGTATCAGAGAGGAAGCTTTAACAAAGGAAACAGTTAAGCGCCCACATAAACTACAACTGTGTGCTGAGAGAATAGTACAGCCATTGCAGCAGTGTCTGTCATGCTGATGGCCAGAGTGGAGGAGATACACAACTCTGGTCCTCAGACCCTGGGAGGGAAAACAAGTGGGGACAAGCCTGGCTTTGCCCCTGTCACAGCTGAAAGCTGATGAAGTTCAACAGTAACCTCCAGTTTTCTCTGGGAGGTAAGATGTTGGGAGAAAAGGTAGTATCATTGTGTTAGGTAAACAACCCTAGCAAAAGCCAGACCTTCAGTGAATTCTTACAGGTCTCCCGGAATTCTGTCTGTAATTGAAGTCTCATTCAAAAGGAGGGAAAGGTTGACAGCAGGGCACTAACATGAAAGTAAATCTAACTTTTCAGCAATGCAGATGTCTTAACGTTTAGTTAAATGAGCCAAAGGGCATTTCAACTTGGAGCATTGAGAAATACCATCATGCGTTGTAGTGAGATATCCACCCCGCCCACACCTGTAGCACTGACCATGCTCGTTTGGTGGTGGTCACGGGTGCGGATGTGATGGAAGGTAGGTCTAGATCTGGAGTCCCCTACTCCAGCTGCCTTTCTTGCTTCTGGTCGGGTCACAGAGAACAGCCCGGGTAGATCCTTGGAGCTGGAACCTGCAGCAGTCACCTGCCTCTTTTGTAAGTTCATTCTCCCCAAATAAACTTCACTTAACCTGTACTGAGTCTTGTGAATCCTGATTCCCACACAATACTTCGTGACTTTGGAGTCTTTGTGTGTCTCTCAGACATCCTATTCTGGCGGCCTACATCTCCCCTGGTACTCCAGAGGATAATGACTTGTGCAGAGTGAGAATTCTTAATTTTGTACTGATTGGCCTTTTTTACAACAAAATAACCAATTCTCTATTATACCCTTTTTCTTTGCCTGGCAAATTTCTCTTAGGACTTTCTTAGTTTAGGTATTATCTCTGAACTTATTTCCAGCCCTTGAAAGCCCCTCTGCCTCTTAGGTAGGAAGTCAGCCCTTCCCTTTGTTATGGATATTGTCATGTACATCTATTTCTCATCCTCGCCTTTTAACTGCCACAAATCAGAGTTTTGATTTGTTCATCTGTATTATGACCAATGCTGCCTGTGCCTGGGGTGCACATGAAGAGCTGTCAATCTACATGTCACAGGATAGGGTACCCACAAGAAAGCTCATTCCACACCCATGTTGTAAGCTAGAGTTGGGAGACTCTGCCCACTTCAGTCTTCTCTGCTGCTCAATAATACAGTTTACTGAGTAGTGACTCATAGAATGCCTCTCTGTGATCTGACTATAGATGTACTTAGTTCAGATTAGCGTTTCTTCCTATACTCATTTGTGTTCAGCTAAGATTAGTGCACAATTGGAACTCAATGTGTTAATGTTAAGTGTACAAATATCCACTAAGATGTTAGCAATGGCTGGATTTAGGGTATTTGTATTTTTGTTAAAGATTTACTTCAAAAATTCTCTTTCATTATTTTAAATATATGTATGCGCATGTGCATATATGTGGGAGAAGACATTTCCAGTTTTTAATATAGATGGAGCGTGAAAGAGAAACACAAAACTAAAGCAGGTCTACCAAGCTTGTTCTATGTTCACCTTACTACATAGTAGCTTACAAAGTTGCTTTAATCTACATGGAGAAATGAAGTGACAACCCAGATGTCATCTGGACCTTGTCATATCACTTGGCTTGGCCAAATCTAATAAAATAGTATGAGCTGTGGGGGTAGCATCTGGAGTTGGTGTGTAACAAGCACCAGCTGACCAGGTCAACATGACTTTACCTCTATTCTTTCCTATTTCAGTTACTGTAATGAGTGCATACTGGATCCAGACTGCGGTTTCTGCTATAAGATGAACAGTTCAGCTGTCATTGATTCCTCCTGTGTTCCAGTTAATAAAGAATCTACAAATGAGGCAGCCTGGGGCAGGTATGTCACACACTGTTTACTGTGAGACTATCATTCAGTTTCAAAATGAGCTTATTTTATTGGTTTACACCCATTGTACAAGACATGGATTTTGTTGTGATATCTCCATGAATATATACAATACAGTTTGGTTGTATTAACTCTTACTTCATTTTCTTCCCCTCCTCTGGCCACCTCCCCTTCCCTTAATAGTCTCTTCTAGTTTCATATCTTCTTTTTTAAAAAAAATAAAGGTTTCAGGCCTGCAAGGTAGCTCAGCAGGTGAAGGTGCTTGCTACTAAGGCTCCCATCCTGCCTGAACCAACCCCCAGGACCCACGAGATAGAAGAGGCTAACCATGAGAAGGATCCTGTGACCTCTATATAGAGGCAGGCACACACATACAAACACGCAATAACTGCTTTAGAAATTAAAAATCCAGAATCAGTATATGAAGGAAGACATTGCCAGTGACACTGGCTTCCATAAGAGAAGGTGTTATCACCTATGAGACTGAGTGTCTACTGTGCAGCAGGGCTGTTCCATGTGCTCCTCAGAAAAGGCTGTACAGCATGCTCTGGTGATCCAGAAATCCAGCATGTTTCAAAATGCACAAGGAAGCTCTTAGGCCCCCATGCTCGGGCAAATACTACCCTATTACACAGCTACCCTCAGCCCAGCCTCCAGGCTCTTTAGGTGAAGTAGGTGTTTTCTGCTATCCACAGGGCAGTTTCTCCCACTCCATACTGTAATTTCCAAACTGTCATCTTCTGAACCCAAATAAGACTGTTGTAAAGTCAAAATAAGTTAACATCCCTTTAAATCATTTCATTGAACTATTTTCCCCTGGAGTTTTTGTGGCCCAGGGAAACTAACCAAATTCAGAATAAAAGTTGCTAAGCATCAGTGTGTGGCCTGTCTGAAAGCTATCAGCATTTCTGTTTGGGCCAGACCACATTGGTTTTTCATGAATATATAAATAATATTTGTATGCAATGAGTATTCCTCACATTTAAGAGCCAGTGTCCATATCCGTGAACCCAAAATTTATGGAAATGTATTTAATATGACTTAAACCTCTTTTTCCATTTTTAAATCCCCTTAAAAATAGTACCCTCTGCCTCCTCACTATCCAAGCTTTGACAAGGACAAACCCTGTAATACCATAGCTTGTGTATCCTAACAAGTTACACAACATACTAGAGGTACAGTACGAGTAACATACGAGTATCAATTCTTATGCTCCTTGCATTACTGTGTTACTAGGTGATTGCTCAAAAAAGTAGAAGTGAATTTTATGTTAGTTGTATACAACTCCAGACTACATATGAAATACACTAATTACAAAGAGATATGCAAAAACCCCAACCACTATTTAAGCAAACACTTTAAGAGAAGTCTTCCCAAACACAGCAATGCACTAGTTACCTTTTTTGCTGCAGGACATGTTGCCCTGACACCTGCATTAGCTCCTAGTCCCTTGATGTGACATTGCATCACAGCCAAAGGCAACTCAGAGGAAGAAGGAGTTTATTTCAGTTCATGGCTCAAGGAGGGTGCAAGTCTATGATGGTGAGGGGGATACGGCAGCAGGAAACTGAGAAGCCCCATTTTTAATCTCATAGAGAAATCAGAGAGTGGGTGGGGAAGGTTGTAATTTGCCAGCCCACCCCTTCCTCCAGCAAGGTGCCAGCCACCTCTTAAAGTTCCATGACGCCCCAAACTAACTGGGAACCAAGCACTGAGATACCTGTGCCTCTGGGGACCATTTTTTTGCTCATTCAAGACACTGTTAAAGTCTATTATTTTAATGAGCCCAGTTAGTTGATTTCATATTCTAGATATCTTCACTTAGAGTTTCAACTCTTAGGATTTGTGCTCACCATTGGAGAAAAAATAAGACTGAAAATTAGTTGCATGAAATTATAAACACATTATAAAATCCATATAACTAAAATGTGTGAGGACTGGGGTCATGGCTCAGCTAATAAAACACTTGCTACATAAGTGTGATTACTGGCGTTCAGATCCACAGAGCTAACATAAAATCTAGGTGGGCTGGGAGGCCAGCCTAGAACCCCAGTGCATGCAAGTCCTAAGGGATCCCTAGAAGAAGCTGCCTTAACAGACTATTGAAATGGCCTCCAGGTTCAACACTAGACCTTATGGCAGTATATATATGGAAACTGATCTAGAAATACACCTAATATCAACCTTAGATCTCCATGTGAATGTATACTTGTGCAACCTTGCACACGTGTGTCCACATACACAAGCACACATACATGCACAGAAATCACCATTACATATATATGGAAAAAGTAATTTAGAAAAATAACTACTGAATTGTCCCATGTTTTAGGGAACTAACTTGTAAGCTGGAGAGATGGTTCAGCTTTAAAGAAATACAGGATATGTTTTTATACTCTACTCAAATTTGAACACTTAATTAAGACATATGTCACATATGTGAATGTCTATATGTTGCATGTGTGTCATAACCCAGAAAATTTTGCACACACACAAAAAGAACTTAAGAAACTAAAATTCTAGGTAACTAAATGTGTGAAGCATGGTATAAAAAATATACCATGTGTGATCTGTTTGAAAGATAAGCTACCAAATGGAGTAGCAATAAAATCAAGCTAAGAAAGACAGGAGAGGGAAAATTTACAAAACTATGGTTTTGAGAATTCACAGGAAACTGAAGAAAATTAAACATTTATCTAAATCTATTCACAATAAATCAATTAGATACTCTGATTAAAGACAAATATATTTGGACTAATTTTTTAAAGATATATTCTATACACCATTTAAAAACAACAAGTACAAAAATGTTGGAACTTGAGTAGAAAAAATTAAGTACTAAAAGTCAAGAAGACAAAACTAGCATAAATTAGACAATTTGGGAGTCTTACAAGTTTAATATAGAAATTAAATACTGAGCCTGACAAGTTCATTAATTTCAAGCCAACATGGAACACATGCAAAACTGTGTTGTGTTTAATAAAAAAGAATAAATTGAGCAAGTATATTAATATATACATTCAAATAACCTCTAAGGAAATCCAGAGACTAACATGCAGACATGTTTTCTGACCAAAGTACAACAAAAATTCACAAAAAAATCAGAGAGATATTTATGACCTTCTCTAAGTTAATTGAGAAACTAAGAACAAAATGTTCAAATTAAGAACAGATCGTATGATCTGGAAGAGATGGCCCAGAAGTTAAGAGCTCTTGCTGCTCTTGCAAGGGATCCAAGTTGGGGTCCAATCCTGGCAGCTTACAGATGCCTGTAACTGAAGCTCCAGGGATTGACAACCTCTTCTAGCTTCTTTGGGTATCTGCACACATGTGATACATACACATGATAATAATTTTTAAAAAATACTGATCTTTAAAAAACAAATGATGGGAAAACAGATGTCAAAGTTTACAGCCAACCAGACTCGGAAAAGGCAGAATCAGGGACAGAGTAGGCCTGCATGTGGAGAGGAAATTCACAGACAGAAGCAAGAGGAGCAATGTAAAACCCAGGAAGGTACAAAAGTCCAGAGCTGTTGATCTTTAGAGAGGTCTGTACAAGTTGAGAAAACTCTGGTACAGTCCTGGCTAGGAAGAGAGAAAAGATGTAAGCAATATTTAGAATGAAAAGACATGCAACAGAAAACAGGTATTTTGACACTCAAATGAGTTTGGTGACTAGTGCATTTGAAGGTTCATTTAAAGTTTTCCAGAAAACATAGAAGTTTCTAGAACCAACTCAGAATATCTGTGAAGTATAATTTCTTTTTGACAGGTAAGATTTCCAAATAAAAAGGTAAGTCTGCTTCTTTTGAAACAGCTGCAGCTAAGCAGGGGACATATACACAGTTAAGAATGTGATAGATGTCTTTAAATGGCACTAGGACATCTGGTCTCCTCGGAGTTCATATCCATCAGTAGACTGGTAGTAGCAGATGTATTGAGCAATGTGGTTCTTTAGAATGTATCTAAGCAATGTAAGGGGCATATTTGAAAACAGTTATAACAATGCAGAAATGTCCTGTGTGTGTGTTGGGGGGTGGTATGTCAGGAACACTGTATAGACAGAATAAGCATCAGTATCTAAACTGATAAATGCATTAGGATAATTCTCATTTATGCCTGTATGTGTCTTCCGCCTCCTCCATACCTCCCAGTTCTCTATCTACACAAAACCATAAATAATCCATTCTGGAATTTCAATGCTAACTAAAAATATCATTAATGAGGGATGCTTTCTTAGTGTGCTGGTTCAGTATTTGTTTCCTATAACACAGCATTTCAGCTCTGTAATTAGAAACACTAAAATAGCTGGATATAGTCCCCCTTTGGCAGTTTATTGTTCACAGCTTCATTCAGCTGAGATATTTTTCTCCCAGCCAAACTTTGATACAGCATGCAGCCTGTTGGCTCTGCATTCTACCACTTGCCTGAGCAAACTGTGCTCAGCCTACACCTCCCACCAGCGCACCGATGTCCTTAATGACTTCTCCTTCCTTTGCTTCTGTGCAGGGTTGACAATTTCTTCTTCCTTCTCTGCCTAAATTTTAATAATCATTTTTGTTCAAATAAGTTGTCAGTTTTTGCTTACGTTCTGTCTGAACAGCTCACTAAACAAGGCATATAGATAGCAGCCACTAACCTTGTAATAGCATAACTACAAGAAAACTGTTATGGTCACAGATCAATGATAATTATGAAAAAGCATTGTATAAGGCCCACACCCCTTGACACTTAACAGTGTGGTACAGCCTGCTCCAGGGGACTCCCAGGAGGGAAAAAAGACTTTCTCCACACAGCTGCAGTTACCACAAACCTTAGAGCAAAGTTCCCCTCACAAGAACATTACAGCCTCTCTCTCTGTGAAAGAGAGCAGCACAGCCCCTGCGACCACTGGCCCAGAGTCAGTGGAAGCCTAGCAAGAGGGGAGCATCCTCCGAGCTCAGAGCTTAGTGTCCAGATAGAGATGCCCCAACGGGCATCATCTGAGCTCTGGGACAAGTTGGCTACTAACTGCCTGATCGCATGGAA